AAGAGGAGGTCCCAGTTGTTAATTCTTTCAAGCATAACCTGTGAGATATGGTTTTTGTTCATGAACTCTTTGCCTAACCCTATGTCTTTCAGAGTTCCTCCTACTCTCTGTTCCAGGATATTTAGTGTTTCTGTTTTAATGTTATAAAACTAATTTAAAATATAGTTTGCAATCATAGAAAGATAGGAAAGATAGTGTACAAATATTTTTCTGAGTACTCTAAAAGTGTTCCTTTATTCTCTGCCTTTGAGCTATTGTTCCCTATTGAAAACCAAGCACTACCTTTCGTGTTGCTCCTTAGAGCACAGTGTATGGATTTTCTCAGGTTGTTGCAAAGGTTTCATTTTTAGTGTTCTTGTCCCCTTAAATATGCATGAATACTGATTTACCTTCAGCTGCCTGCCTATAACTCTCCTGCCAATGCAATATGGTTGACTTACAGAGTTCCTAATTGAAATTTATGGCCTTGCATGCAGCATTGGTCCTGATGGAAGACTTGTTATGTACAAATTTAAGTGCATGCAATGAGTGGGGGGGGCTATTAGGGGCAAAAATATTATGGAAATGTATTTTGTAAAATCCAGCACAGTTACAATTTCATGACAGTTTGTGAAGCTTCCATTTGATTCAATATGAAAAATTATATATATCACATTTACTCTTCCATTTGCCTGCATATAGTATAAAATGTCCTCATGAGGGAGAATCTCTGTCTCATGTCCCTCAGTACTTAAGCAACAAGACACCACTGTTAGAGTGGGCCTCAACTGGAAAACACACAGACTTTGCGTGACCTTCGGCAAACAAGGTCAGCATGTCTTTGGCAGAGTCAGGAATAGTTGTGTTAGCTTAGCAAGGAGCATGACTGTCCTAATTTCTTTTAAACCTTTAGCTGTTGTCAAAGAGGACATATATGCCAGGGGAGCAGGGGTAACTATGGGAGCCGTCTGCTTTCTCAGCACTCTGGAAATCCCCTGTCCAGCACTTGATTCCCTGGGTGGCTCTGCTTGAGGGAGCCCCACAGCAGGATTAGTGCAGGACTTGAGAGGTTGGCATGACACAGCAACCATTTCTCACACACTTTGCAGGTTCGGTGCTCCATGCCCTGTGCCGCTGCCCACAGGATTGTGCCCTCTGTCAGTTCATTTTCCCATTAATACAATGTTTCCATGTCCCAACACATTTCCTTCAGCTTGTCTTTGACTTTGACCAGGTCGCAAATTATACCGCTTCCTTGAAGGCCATTCACCAACTAAGAGCAAAGGAGCTGAGGTACTGACAAGCTTCAGTTTGTCCTGTTGGTCCCAGTGGTCCTCATGAGCCCTACTATGTCCCTCCAGGTCAAAGTTCCTCCAGTGCTTGTCCTTATCCATCTTCCTTTACCAGCCCTGGGTGTAACTTATGTTCAGTCAATTCAGGTTCAGAATGAGAACCAAAGACAACCCCTTTCAGAGGCTCTTCCTCTAGCTCCAGATAACACATGAGATCTAATTGTTTTAATTGTTCTCATTTTAAATCAATCTTGGTGGTTCTCCTTCTCTGATCAGACCCACCCAATAGTATGTGAGTAGAAGACTAAGGAAATGGCCCTTCCACTGACATCCTGGCTAACTACACTTAAAACTAGGCTCTAATCAGATTAAGGTGAAACTGATAGATTACATTGTTATGGGGCAAGTTGACAACACTAGACAACTGTAAGTGTATTTTGAACTATCTATTTTGGACTCAAAAATTCTAGACAAATACACTAAAAAAGACATCTTACACCTGACATGCAGCTGACCCCTGATTCCAAATGAGGCCGAGGGTTTTACTTAGAATTTAACCTTCTGGCCCAGACCACAGATGGAGCCACCACTGTGCTCCCTCCTTGCCTGGGATCTGCAGGTGCACGTCTCAGCTCAGCTCCACAGCAGGGCCTGCCTTTCTGAGAACTCCAGAGTTTTTGTTCAGCTTTTACTATCATTTCAAGCACTGTGAGTTCCCAAAGAGCACAGAAATATTTTCCAGAATCCTCCATCTGCAAGGCTGTAATCATGAGGCTCATGGAGCTCCCTGCTTTTCTGACAGAATAGCGACCACTCTTCCCACTGGTAGAAGAAGAACCTTGACGAATAAGGAAAATCATCTTTCCACTTGGAAGTTGCTGGTACCAAAAAATATAGTATGAGCTCCAGCTTGTCTCGTAGGAGCAGTCCAGGGTGACTGTTTCCCCTTCCCTTCTGGCTGTGGGGGGCTGCACTTGGGTCACTTTCTGGGCCATGCTGGGTCCTGTGGGAAAAGTCAGAAAGTAGAGCTGATTCTCCATATGGTGAATAAAATACTGTAAGAATTACATTACTGCAGGACACAAGGACAAACCACACCTAAGTCAGTTTGCTTCACTTCTCCCATCCTGCCTTCCTGCTCTATCCCATCTTTTCATGCGTACCAGAAAAGATGGAGACCACGGCCACCCACAGCAGGCTGGGCAGCAGCATGGTGCCCGTCCCTCTGCAAAGGAGCACTCTGGCCCAGCCGCGGAGTCCTGGCCTTGCGTGGCTGACAGTGTACCTGTGAGGACTTTCTGGCTGGTTCTGCTGCTCCCCAGACAGGAAATGGGGTTTCTTAGGTTTGTAGACCACATGGGGTAAGTGTGGCTGCCCCCAAACTGTCTTCTGTCTGCTTGTGCTGAGGAAAGGCGGGGCCTAAGGAAAGCTGTGAGTGCTGCGGTGAGGAGCTCAGGATGCTGCAGCCCGAGCTGGCCGACACACTGCTGCTACCTGGCAGACTAACTCGGGAGACGCGCACAGCAGAACTGAGGGCGAGCCGCCGTCCTTCCCTCTGCTGTGCCGATTGGTCACTAACTGAGCAGCATTTATCTGTTCCCTCGTGGTTCTTGTGTTTCTCTATGAAAGGAAAGCATGTGCAGCACCATTAGTGCTTCTCTTTCTTACTCACTTCTATAACATTTGCATTTTGTAGTTCTTAAAACTCAGTGAGAGCTGGGCATATAGTTCAGCGGGTACAGCGCCTGCCTGACCAGTGTTAGTCCCTGAGTTTGATTCCTCATATTAAAAAAAATAAATAAACAAATAAAAAGCTAACCTCAAAACTAAGTAAATCAGTTGATAAATGACAATCCTTATGTCTTTCAGAAGCTATTAATTTGTGATTTTATAGAAAAAACATATCAAGAATAAACTGTTATTCTCTTTTAAAACGTGACTGAGCTGTACTTTCTAGACTGTGGGGTTGAGGTCACTGAGCTCTGCCGCTTTCACATAGAGAAGGCCTCTTCCCAGAGCAGTGTGCTGGGATTGTCCTGGTAAAACATTTTCTAGTCCATTGACTGAAAGTGCTGAGGCTCACTGTTAAACTCTGTATTTTTATGGAGTACTGAAAGCATTTATTTTATTTTACTTTTTAAATTTCATTTATTTATTTATTTATTTATTTATTTATTTGTGTGTGTGTGTGTGTGTGTGTGTGTGTGTGTGTGGCCAGCTCAGCCCACCAGGGGGTGGGCCCTGGCTGGCATGTGGTGCTGGGGGATTGAACCGTGGTCCCTTTGCTTTGCTAAGCTTGTTCTAAGTAGGTGCTTTAGACCACTGAGCCATCTCACCAGCCCCCTGAAAGCATTTAAAGACATATGAACAATATAGAAATTGGTGGTTAAGATTTTCTTTTCTGCTATATAATTGTGTGGAGTGTAGCTCTTGGATTATTGCTTCATCTTTTGAATTAATATAAAGTGAACAAAAGACAGAAAAACAGAAATCATTCAAAGTCTCTAAGATATTCCAATTCTTGACATAATTTTAAAAAACAAATCAATGCGTGATGTGGGGAGAACTTTTAAGGATCTGAGATCTCTTGTCTGCCTGATTTCACCTCTGTGTCATGGTCCTCAATTACCTTTACCTATGCGTGTGGACCCGAGGATGCCCACAGCACTCTGGGGAGCAGCGTGGTGGCAGGGTTTCCCTCCTGTAGGAATAGCTGCTCCCTGCTCCGGAGACTCCAGGCCCTGAGTCCCTCAGGAGTTGCAGCGGCTGCCTGTTAATTATGGTTTTGTCTGGCAGGGTTACATATGAATTTCTTTTGGTGTGTGCTTCATGTTGAAGGCACCTTGCTTGCTTGTGTGCCTTTTTTGTTTGTTTTTTCCTTTGTTTTTTGAGACAGAGACTCCCTGTGCTGCCCAGGCTGACCTGGAATTCCTGGGATTAGTCAGGCCTCCTGCCTGAGCGCTCAGAGTGTGTGAACACTCCACCAGACCTGAGCGAACAGCCTTCCGTTTGTTAATAAATTAGAGATGTTATCCTAGGATTTGTGTGGTGCAGTAGGACCACCTCAGAGTGCTGTGATGAGGGCTTTCTTTCTCCATTCTGTCGACTGGTGGAGATCACAAAGTCTGCTTGCTACTGTTTACTTAAAAATTTACTTTAAATTATTATATAACTATCATGTTTAAAAGTAGAGAAAATTATGTAATAAAAAACTTTGCAGCCACAAAAAGTAATTGTATTATCTTAATTATATCTCCCTCCTCCTTCCCGCTTTGTCTTCTCTCTGTCTCTC